CCCCACTGCCATTCTAGTGTCTGCCCTGCTCCTGAATCAGGACCCAGCCCTCCATCCTTCTGTCTTCTATGTTTCTAGTGAAGAAGCCTCAGGACGCCAAGAGCACCATGTTACTCAACATCTGTACCAGGTAAGACATGGGTCACTGGGGTTCATCTCGCTCATCCCTCTGTCTCTAGCAAGACTTCCTGTAAATAATATCCGAGGTACCTACTATTCTCTGAGAATGTTTTGTGTGCTTAGTACTGTGCTGAGCACCCTCCAGGAGGTAGACAGCACGGCATGGTGGTGTGAGACTAGCCATGACCACATAAGCTGAGACTGTGAAAAGTGATGTTGATAATCAAAAAGGAGGATTACAACTGTTACAGGAATTTTCCATTATTCTTATTTTTAAATTTTTATTTCTTTCAGAGAGGAAAGGAGAGGGGGAGAGATAGAAACATCAATGATGAGAATCATTGATTGGCTGCCTCCTATACTCCCCCTACTGGGGATAGAGCCCTCAACCAGGGCATGTGACCTGACCAGGAATTGAACCTTGACTTCCTGGTTGAGCCACACTGGCCGGGCTTACATTATTATTTTTTTATCACAACATTGAAAACTCTCATATTTCCAGTTATAAAAGTATAGAGTAATGAAAAGTATAGTTAAGAAGAGTATTTTTTTTTTTTTTTAGTGCACTGTAATTTAAAACGTCAGAACATTGTGCCCTAGCTTGTTTGGCACATTGGATAAGACCTTTGGCTGCTGACTAAAGGGTCCCGGCTTCAATTCAGACCAAGGGCACATGCCTGGGTTGCAGGCTCAATCCCCCCAGTAGAGGGGGGTGCAGGAGGCAACCAATCAATTATTCACTCTCATCATTGATGTTTCTATCATTCTATATCTCTCACTTTCATTCTGAAATCAGTTAAAAAGTAACATGTCATAACATTGTGATTGAAGTTGGTTTTGATTTTTTGTGAAGCACTCAGCCCAAAGCCCTGTGGTTTGAATAGTGGCTCTATTCTTCTCTGTAGCACAGTGGTTCTCAAACTTCCTGATGACACAACCCTTTAGTACAGTTCCTAATGTTCAGGTGACCCCCAAACATAAAATTATTTTCATTGCTACTTCATAACTGTAATTTTGCCACTGTTAATTGTACTGTAAATACTTGATATGCAGAATGTATTTTCATTGTTACAAATTGAATATAATTGAAGCATAGTGATTAATCACAAAAAAATATGTAATTATAAATGTGTTTTCCGATGGTCTTAGGTGACCCCTGTGAAAGGGTCCTTTGACCCCCAAAGGGATCTCGACCTACAGGTTGAGAACCGCTGCTGTAGCACTTAGGATATGGAGCAAGCATCTGTTCTATGACGCTGTGAAGTGTCATGTTCCTTCTAAGTTTAGGTCAACTTCCCACATGTAATCCTCTGAGCTTTCGATGTCACGAGGTATTTAAGAGTTCCTTCACCGGGAAGTGTTCTGCCAGTGTCACCTCCTCTAGGACATCATTTTTGGCCACAACCACTTTCGTCATTTATGTTGATGGCCTTGCCTTCACCAAGTGCCTCTGGCCCCATGATGGTCTCTTCCAAGGGCAGCAGATCCACATTCCACCATCTGCTGTTTCTTCTCTGGCTCTGCTTAGGTGCTACTGAAATTTTACTCCCAGTGTTACCACTCTCATTTCTGTGCTGTGCTTTCATCTTTGCTGGCAATTCCCTTTCAATGATCTATTTTGGTAAAATCTCACTGAGAGAGAAGGAAGTAACACAACCACACACATGGTTTGAATGATGGGTGCTCCGTGACCCATCAGTGACAGACTTTGAAATAAGTGACGTGATTGGTCATTG